TTACTCAGGAACAATACCTCATATAAGTGAACTGATCAGCATAGAGTATATAAAACTGTTGAGTTAGAGGGATCAGAGTCACACACTCTCGATTTCACTAAGAAACTCTTCTGACCAAAAAAACGAGTGAAAATAAGTCAATTCCTCACTACCTCTCTCTTTTTTGTCATTTCATGAACTTTCTTCTTTCTCTCGTTCTTTTAAGTAAGAGGTTATCTTCTCAACTCGAACATCAGATAAGTCCCCGTCGTCAAAGTTCTCGTTGAGAAGGTAATACAAGCTACTACCAATAAGTTTGGAACTCATACAAAGTCAATAAATTGTTCACATACCTTGACGTATATCTGCCCAACTTTTTTACGTTTTTTGACAGTGAGAGAAAAATCAGAGTTTCACCATCCGACTTTGGAGGGTTCTAAACGTGGGTGACTATGCTCTCGATCTCAAAGATTGTAGACAAAGGATAACATCTAAGGATCGTAATCACTGTTTCATAATTACCTGATCACAAAGTCACTCCAGGGTATTCGTGGTCAATAATCTCACGAGTTCACTTTAGTAGCAAAGCAGTAATAACTGTATTAGATGACAAGAAAGTAGACGCGCAAATTTTCCATAAGTTGAGCTAACCAAAAGTTGTTCATCGAAGTAGTCACAAGTTGTTAAATCGATAAGCTTTTTTTGTCTTCCCGTTAGTCGTGAACTTTCCACGAGCAAGTGCGTGATTACTTGGATCACTGACTCAAAGTTCCCTTTGTTCACATGGTTATCTCTTCCTTTATTCTTTTTTATTTTGTTCCCTGCGTTTTTTCACGTACACAAACCATAGATTGTCCTGCGAGATCTGTCAATTATCTTCCCCTTCTTGAATGTACATAGCTTCTCCCATGACTACGTGCATGAAAACAAGATTTTCAACTTCGAGCTTTAATAACTCATACAGGCTTGCAACCGCTTAGCAAGGTCGTAGACTTAAACGCGATTTAGTACCGTCACGTTAGTTCATTAGGCCCGTGGCGCACTCAAGTCTCTCTACCTCGGTTTGTGTGAGCCAACTCACCGGATTGCGGCTTCCTGAAAAATGGTTATATCCAAAAATCAGCTGATTTTTTTATGATTCCCGAGATCGCCTTCTTCTTCGTTGCTGCATCCATTTCTTGGTCTTCTAGCCTCCCGCACAACCCGCCAATGAGATCAAGACTTTAGCGAGACAGGTTCTTCGCTCTTCTATCTCTCGCATGAGCTGCCAATCAAGGACGCAATCACAACATACTTGGTCCTTAGTACCATTACCCCGCACATAAACCGATAATGAGGAAGGGATTTTAACGAGATTGGTTCTTCGCACTTCTATCTCTTGCATGAGCTGCAGAGCACTCATGTCTCTCCGCCTCTGTTCGTACAAGTCTTCTCTCCAAGCTCCAACTTAAGGGAAAAAAACGGTTTCCACCCAAAAACGTTTGGGTCGCAGCGCATGCCTTGAGTGTCTGGATCTCCGTGCTCGCCTTCCTCCTCCGCGTACTAGCCCTTGTAAAAAATCCCCCCTCCTTTTTTCCCTTCCTCGTTACTCCTGTTGGCCCCTCATGCTAGGCCTCGTCCGCCCAGTAACACTCTCGTTTCCACTTCTACCTGCACTAGTTTATGGTCGCGGCTTGAAGGCGGTTACATTTCCTCGCTTCTCTCCTTCACCCAAGCCATCAGAGATGGGGTTTTCTCCATTCCTGATTGTACTTGGCCGAAATTTTTGGGAAGATGCATACGACATCTTGGTTCCTGCACGTTATGGACATCTGAACATGCACGTACACCTCACGCTCAGCCGTACTCATAACCCCGTATTCTAGGTGAGCACCCACTTATCGAAGGAGAATCATAGCAAGGTGAAATCCGCAATACGGGTGAATATCCGACCCCACTAATGTTCTTATAATTTGAAGTTGCGAGCACCTTTCAAGTTATTTAATTTATTTTTCGACACAACATCGTTTGTTTTCGAATGTTTTTTTTTTTTTCCGTTGGGACCTTCCGTGCTCCTTGCGCAGTCGGTCCCCCCGGGAAAAGAGATTGACCTGGGCGACGTGGCTAGTGGCCTATATGTTTTTTTTTTTTTTTTTTACTGTGGAGGAAGGGTTCTCCCCACTACATATTTTTTATTAAAAAAAAATTGGGCATAGCAAAAACCCTTCTGCCATTTGCGTGTGTGTGTGTGTGTGTGTGACACTGTGTATGTGTGATTTAGTGTGAATGTGCAGGGGACCCAATCAATCAGATAATAAAATTTTTTAGAAAAGTTGTAAAAAAGCGCGAGTGCACGCTTCCGTGTGTGTATGTGCAAGGGGGGGGGGGCTGTTTGTGTGTATGTGTATATGTGTGTGTG